CACACACACACACACATTCAGATTCACACATATACTCACACACACATGCACTCGCACACTCACTCACACATACATATACTTACACTCATACACACATGCACACATACACTTGCACACACACTCACATACATACACTCACACTCACACATACATACACTCACAACACACACATGCACTCACACTCATGTATACACTCAGACACTCACACATACATATACTTACACTCATACTCTCACCCACGCACACACATACATACACTCACATACACACATACTCACACATACATACTCCCCAACACTCATACACTTTCTCAGACACACTCAGACATACACACTCACACACGTATTCTATTTTTCCACAGTCATCGTATGTATTTATGGGCTACAGTGTGGCGTGTCAGCACATGCACACAGTGTAATGACCTGTTTACAGTAGCCTGTGACCTGAGTATTGACACGTCTGTCACTTGAGTCATTCATGTTTCCTTGTGCTAGAGGTACTTACAACTCTTTAGCATGATTCTGAAGTAGCCAGGCACTTGTTACTAACCCTGGCTGTGGTGCTATGTGACATTATGACACAGCAGCATATATACTTTGAAGCTGTGTTGCTGTCCTGGTGCAGGGCCATCTGACCCTTTTCTGTGTTTTTCTAAGTTTTAGCACGGGTGCTGTGGAGGCAAGCCTCAGTTTCGTTTTTTTCTTTCTTTCTCTCCCCTCCACCTCACCCCAGTTGTTTTGATACTGTCTCATCCAGTACCCCCCTCAGGTACTCCTGACCTTCCCCTCCTAGTTATCCTCACCCTACTGCATCTTGCTTAAGTGGAGCTTGTGTTGATGATGGCAAAATGATAATGGGGACAGTAACAGCTGCTTTCTTGCCTTACACAGGTTTTTAATTAATTAATTTATTTGGGGGGGTTGTTTTTGTTTTTTAAAACAGTATATGTAGACCAGCCTGGCCTCGAACTCAGAGATCCACCTACCTCTGCCTCCTAAATGCTGGGATTAAAGGTGCACCACCACTGCCAGGCTGCCTTACACAAGTTTTATGGAAAATCACTTGAGCGGTTTGCACAATGAGGTTCTATGATTTTAAAATGTCTATTCTTGCCTGGTAACCTTGATGAACCTGGGAGATGCAGCTGCCCTGGGCGTGGATGGGAGGGGCCTTCTGGAGTGGATCTCACCTCCTTGATTTGGTTCTTGGTGTGGATCCTGCAGGGTGCAGCTCGCTCTCTGTTTTAAAATAAGGATGGACACATTTCCTGGGGCTTCCTGAGAATCAAACGAGGAGAAGTATGGGAAGCCTGCATCCTGATGTGGTGGTGCACACCTGTAATCCTAGCAGCTGGGGAGGGGAGTGGGGAGGGAGGACCGGGAGTTCAAGGCCAGCATCCTCTACTTGGCAAGTTGGAGGTCAGCCTTAATTATATGAGACCTTGTCTGAAAAACAAAAAACAAAACCCAGCTGGGTGTGGTATGATGACACTTATTTAATCTCAGCACCGTGGAAGCAGAGAGGCAGATTTCTACCAGTAAAAGGACAGTCTGGGCTATATACCAAGTTCTAGGCCAGTCAAGGCTACATAGTGAGACCTTATCTCAAAAACTAAACCTAAATAAAGGAACTAAGTAAACAAGCCAAATCCGCCTCTCCCTTATGAAGCTCCTTGTCCAGAGTCTGGAACACAGAATGTTTCAGTAATTGTCTTTTTATTTTATTTAAAATACCTTTGAATTTAGTGTGTGTGTGTGTGTGTGTGTGTGTGTGTGTAGCCACCTAGGAAAGGCTAAAGCTAGCAGGTGATTTACCTGGAGGTGACCCACCTCTTTGCCTGGTATGAGATGAGGGAGCTCTGAGAGGCAAGGTCCCAAGAGACTTCATCTCAGGATTGCTCCTTTCGGCTGATACGTCTTTCCTGCCACTATCACATAGCCTAAGGACTCCTGGGCATTAACCCACCCTATTGACCAAATTTCCTGCAGGTCAGCATAAAGATGAGCTTCCATGAATTAACACTGTTTAGATGAATTGGTGATCTTATAGAATTCCTGATTTAATTCAAATAATCTTAAGAAAGTTGTAAGAGATGGTCTTAGTTGCTTTGCTAAAAAGATGTAATAAAGTTAGAATCAAGAATAGAATGTGCCCACTCCTCTTAGTAGTAAGTAAAGGCTGCATAATAAGGAATACCATGAGCTTTTGTAATTACACAAAAAGAGAAATAGGCTTGGGACACATTTGTGATCAAAGACAAACATTCATTCTAGGTCAGGGCCAAGGATGAGGCCACAGGTGTGTACTATGATAAAGCAAGGCCATATGGAACTGTAGCTTTGAACTTATAATGAGCTTATAGAATAAATGCTGCTCTGAACTTAGTATTGACATCCTCCTGTAACTCCCATTTTGTGGAACATTTTATATACAAAGTATTTTTTCTAAACAACTTTTGTCTAAAAAGGTATAAAAAAGGCAAGAGAAAAGAAATAAAGTTGTTGGCATGGGGGGGGGGTTTCTCTTATCCATCCATCCATCTATCCATCCATCCACCAAATGTATGTCTGTTGGTCTATGTGTAGGTATGCGTGAATCCTTGCAGAGTGGATGAGACAGATGGTTGAGCACAGCCAGAATGTATGCATGAATGGATGTGTGTCTGTGTGCATTATCTATCTAAATGAATTTATTTCTTTCCTTTTCTCTCTGATTCACAAAGAGCTAATGAGCCTGGCCAAGGAGAGGCCCCAGAGGGGAGCACTAGCAATAAATCCTTAAAAAAAAAAAATCTCTTACCTAATCCCTCCCTGCTATACAGCAAGAGTTAACTACCAGAAACTAGAGGCTTTAGAATAGCAATGAGTTAGCCGGGCGGTGGTGGCACACGCCTTTAATCCCAGCACTTGGGAGGCAGAGGCAGGTGGATCTCTTGAGTTCGAGGCCAGCCTGGTCTACAGAGTGAGTTCCAGGACAGCCAGGGCTACACAGAGAAACCCTGTCTCGAAAAACCAAAAAAAAAAAAAAAGAATAGCAAAAAGTTTAAGAAAGGTAAACATTACCAAAAGTAAGCCACTTTTGCCCCAGCCATTGCAACTTCTCTCACAACTGCCAATGCTCCCATTGCTGTCTTCTAGACCTGGAGACTCTATAGATGCTGGGAAGGTCACTGGTATATATATACATACATGGCATACACCCTGAAATTACACAAACACACACACACAGACGCACATACTCTGAATTTTCATTATCCACTCATCTCCCGATGGACAAGAAAGTTGATTCCAATTCTTTGCTCTAGTGAATGAAGCAGCAATAACCCCAGGGTGCAGACATCTCTATGGTAGGGTGTGGAGTTCTCTGGGTATTTGCCCAGGAGTAAATTAGCAGGGTCATGTGTTCATTGTATTTCCAATTTGCTGAGGAAATGGTTTCCACAATGGTTGTATTAACTTGCAACACCCCAACAGTGAATAGGGTCCACACCCTCCCCATCCTGTGTTGTCAGATTGTTGATGACGGACATTCTGACTGGGGTGGGGTGATATCTCAAAGTAGTTTGAATTTGCATTTCCCTGATGAGTAGGGATAGCGAACTCGTTTAAGAATAGTTATGGGTCATTGTGTTTCTTTTTGAAAACTGTCTATTCAGTTAATTTGCCCATTTATTGACTGGGAAAAAATGTTTTATTCCTCTAGTATTTAATTTCTCTAATTCGTTGTAAACTCTGCATGTTAGCGTCTTGTCTGCAGTCTGTCTGGTAAGGGCTTTCCCAGCTCCGTGGGCTGTGCACTCTGATGTTTCCTTAGCTCTACAGAAACTTTTTGTTCTCATGTGTTCATTTTGTTTTGCCTGCACATATGTATGTGGATTACATGTGAGTCTAGTGACCTTGGAGGTCAGGAGAGGGCCTTGGGTGTCCTGGGAATGGAGTTCTAGACAGTTGTGAGCCACCATGTAAGTGCTGGGAACTGAACCCTGGTCCTCTGGAAGAGCAACACGTGCTCTTACTCACCGAGCTATCTCTCCAGCCCGAATCAGTGTGTTTTGAAATGGCTGAATGTTCCGCATGTTTCCAGGGATGTGCGGGATTCTGAAGTCAACCCGGATGGATTGTTACTTTCCTTCTTTGTTCTAGGAAAGTCCAACATGGGCGGCTCCCCCAAGCCAGCAGTTGACAACATCAGAAATATCCTGGGCATCAGTTGGAACAGAAACGACTACCTGGGTGAGGCTCTGCCCAATCCGGGCCCTATAGGCAGGGAATAGGAGTGAGATCCTTGGTCGCAGGGCTCAATGTGACCTAGCTCTGGCCCTGAGCCACGAGGGTTCCCCATAGCACTGCATGATTGTATCTGAGTACCACCTCGAAAAGCTGGGTACCGAACTGGCATGGTCCCTGTTGTGGTTCCATCTCCAGAGGGCTGTGGCTGTGGGCCGCTTCTTCCTCTGTGAGAAGGTCTGCAGTGAGCCTGCTTCACAGGAAGGTAGGGGCGGATGCTTAGGGAAATGTGAGCTGGTGCAGAGGGCCGCTCAGTACTGTCCACCGCTGCCGCCGCCACGTCATCATCACCTAACATTTCAGGAAACTGCAGGAAGAACCGGCCTGGTAGGGGCTGTCCCTCTGCTGTCCCTTCAGCAGTAGGCAGCTAGGTGAGGTGTTGACAGGCAAAGCTGCTGAAGGAACACATAATTCTTCAGGGTTAGGGTGACCGAAAACAATTAAAACATTTTTTCTTGGTTTGTTTCTGAGACTAGGTCTTGCTATGATTAAAGATTATGTAGAGGCCCGGTGGCCGCAGGGTTCTGAGCTTGTAGCCACAAAACCCCAATCTTCACCTCTGCGGTCACCCCAATTTTTGTTTAGTTTCTACAGTGTCCGGCTAGCTATGTTTGGGTTCAGATTTCTTATGTATTTATTGCAGTGTCTCCCAGCTGAGCACTCTGCCACTGAGCCATTACCCCAGGCCTCTGCTTACTTTTTTTTTTTTTTGGTTTTTCGAGACAGGGTTTCTCTGTGTAGCCCTGACTGTCCTGGAACTCACTCTGTAGACCAGGCTAGCCTCGAACTCAGAAATTCGCCTGCCTCTGCCTCCCAAGTGCTGGGATTAAAGGCGTGCGCCACCACCGCCCGGCCTGCTTACTTTTATTATAAACATTTTTTTTATCTATGTGTATGTGTGTGTCTGCATGCGTGCCTTTGGGGGCTAGAGGAGGATATCACCTCCCCTGGAGCTGGTTACAGGCAATGGGTGCTAGAGACTGAACTCTGGTCCTCTGGAAGGGCAGCAAGCACCCTTGACCACCAAACATTCTTTCTAGCCCTCTTTTGTTTTATTTTTGGGATGGGCCCAGGCTGGCCTCCAACTCACTGGGTAGCCTAGGCCGATCTTCCTGACTGACTCCACTTTCTGAGTGCTAGTAATTAATACAAGGCAAGAGACCCTGGTGGCAAATGCCTCTAACTTCACCACTTGGGAGGCAGAGGCAGGCAGATCTCTGTGAGTTCGAGGCCAGCCTGGTCTACAGAGTAAGTTCCAAGACAGCCAGGGCTACACAGAGACACTGTCTCCAAAAGAAAAACAAAAAGATCTTACTTCTTCTTCTTCTTCTTTTTCTTTTTTTTTTTTTTTTTTTTTCGAGACAGGGTTTCTCTGTGTAGCCCTGGCTGTCCTGGAACTCACTCTGTAGACCAGGCTAGCCTTGAACTCTCAAACTCAGAAATCTGCCTGCCTCTGCCTCCCAAGTCCTGGGATTAAAGGCGTGCGGCGCCACCACCTGGCTAAGACCTTACTTCTAATTCAGGTCACATTCACAATAGAATAGAACTTGAACACATTCTTCTGAGAACACACAGTTCTACCCGCTGTAGGCAATACACAAGGTAAACAAGGCAGCCCTGTAGCATTCAAGTGGTGACATGATGTGAAGCCAGGTGTGGATGGAATAAGAGGGTCTGGGGCATTAGAAGACCTTGCTGAGGAAGACCTGTGTGGGCATCTGGGGGAGAGCACTCCAGCCAGAGGTGCAGCTGGAGCAGAGGCCTGAGGAGGGAATGTACCCCGGGGTTTGAGGAACTTCTAGGAGGCTGTGGGGGGCTGGGCGGCGGTAGGAGAGGAAGCAAGACTGGGTGAGGGAGATGGGGACCATCTAACTCCGGCCTTTGTCGGCTTGCTGAGTACAAGTACCTGCCTCATGTCTTGGGTAGCCTCTCAGTCACGGGCTCTGGTGATTTCCCTCCTCCCCACCAGACATCTATGCAATTGGGGTGGGCAAGCTGGATGTGGATTGGAAAGAACTGAATGAGCTTGGGTCCAAGAAGGACGGCGAGAGGCACGCCTTCATCCTGCAGGATGCAAAGGCCGTGCAACAGGTCTTTGAGCACATGCTGGGTGAGTAAACCCTGTCCTCCCTGCAGAAGAGAGCATAGTGGGGACTCAGATGGGGGCTCATGGTGGCAGCCTGGACCAGTGGCCCTCACCCACTTCCTTCTCCATCTGGTCTTTGCCATAGATGTCTCTAAGCTCACAGATACCATCTGTGGGGTGGGGAACATGTCTGCCAATGCCTCTAACCAGGAGAGGACACCTTGGCAAGTCACCTTTAAGGTATCAGGAAGAAGGGGCAGGGCTTGGACCACAGAGGTAAAAGCAGCCAGGCACAGCAAACCCGGATTATTGTCTCTTCCCTGCAGCCGAAAAACAAGGAGACTTGCCAGGGGTCACTCATCTCTGACCAGTGGGTGCTGACAGCAGCTCACTGCTTCCATGACACTCAGATGGAGGATAGCCACCTGTGGAGGGTCAGTGTGGGTACGTCAGGGGCTGCAGGAGATCCCTCACCACAAGGCCAGAGTCACCACTGTCTCTCCTCAGCCTCTGGTCCAGTCTAATCCACTGTTGTTTCCAGGGGATCCCACTTCTCAGCATGGCAAAGAATTCCTTGTGGAGAAGGTGTTAATTCCCCCAGGGTTTAATGTCCATGCAAAACAGAACCAGAACATCTCAGAGTTCTACGGTGACGACATCGCTTTGATGAAGCTGTCTCAGAAAGTGAAAATGTCTACCCATGCCAGGTGCCTGAACCCAGTCCGGAGGGTACCCTATAGAGGACCGTGCTCTGGAAAGCACCAGACAGGATACTGACGATGGGCCTGTCTGACACTCGCCTTTCTCCCCAGGCCCATCTGCCTTCCTTGCACTGTGGGAGCCAACATGGCTCTGCGGAGATCCCCAGGTAGTACCTGCAAAGACCATGGTGAGTGCTGGAGGCTTAAGGTTCTTGGTAGGTTGCAGCCAGAGCTTGTGGGTACCAGTGGGGACCGGGCTGCAGTCCTCAAGCTGGATACATCAGCTCTGGGTAAAGGAATCTATCTTAACACCCTCTTCTCCCCATTGGCAGAGACAGAACTTCTGTCACAGCAGAAAGTTCCTGCACATTTTGTAGCTTTGAACGGGAACAGACTGAACATCAGCCTCAAGACAGGACCCGAGGTGAGAGCTCAGCAAGGGATGCTGGGATACTCTGGGGGCAGCTCCCAGAATGGCCAGCCCTCCCTGGAGTCTCCTCAATTCTCAGACCTTACTGGTCTAATGTCTCCTGGCATGTCCCCATTCTTCTCTTCTATGTCCCACACTGCAGTGGACGAGCTGTATCAAGGCGGTCTCCCAAAACAAACACATCTTCCCCAGCTTGACAAACATTAGCGAGGTGGTGACAGACCAGTTCCTGTGCAGCGGGATGGAGGAGGATGCTAATCCTTGTAAAGGTTAGTCCCATCCTGGACTCCCAGGGAGAAGGCTATGGTGTCCTTGTGGTTAGCAAACACTCTGAATACTAGTGTGCTGTCCTGGACAATACTGTCTTTTCTTTCCCTGCAGGAGAATCTGGAGGAGCGGTTTTCCTTGAGCGGAGATACAGGTCTTTCCAGGTGAGAAGCAGACTCTGGAGTGGAGCTCCCTGTCAGGGTACAAGTCCCTTTTGCTTAGGGGAGGTGGGAAGCCTTTGAGAGGAACCAGAGAGGTTGAGGGTTGGAGTGGGGCTGCCACTATCTCAGTCCTGTTGACTCTTCCCTCCAGGTGGGCCTGGTGAGTTGGGGTCTTTACGACCCTTGTCAAGGTTTCTCCAACAAAAACCTGCGCAGGAAACCCCCACACGGTGTTCAGCCGAGGGACTTCCACATAAATCTCTTCCGCCTACAGCCCTGGCTGAGGCAGCACCTGGATGGTGTCCTGAACTTTTTGCCCCTTTAGCATGGTCACTGACTCTCTCATCTGTCCTTCCTGTCTACTACCTCTGAGTGTTCTCGCTCCTGGGTCCATAAATCCTGGGCCTAGGAACCCAGAGACAGTGGCAAAAGCTAGGGAATCCCCGGGGTTGTGCCAGGACCACTGTGCTACCCATGAAGCAAGTCTCTCTCTAGCGTGGCTGACCTGTGCTCCTTTCGCTTTCACATGGAATTTCCAAGTTATGAAATTAATAAAAATCGGTGATTTCCACATCCTGTCTGTCTTCTGTTTTTGGGGGTGGGGAGGCCGGGAAGATTCCAGGAAGGTCAGAGACCCTGCTGCACAAACAGTGGCTGGACTCTGCCCCACCACACAGTCCATGGAAAAACTGGTCTCTAAGTGGGGGGTAGTGTTGGTGGTGGTCTGGGCTTGTTAGGAGGGTTGGGGGGCTAATAGGGAGCTCGGAAAGGGAAGTTCTGGCCCTTGGTCAGCAAAGGGTGGGGCTCAGATAGTATCTGTTTCCCCAGTTGGCAGCTCAGCAGGGGCCCTCCTTCATCAATGTTCCGGGAAGCAGCGTCTATGCAGGGTAGGCTGGCCAGGCTGCAGGTGCCAGAGCAGATTGCATAAAAGGTTAGGGGCTAAGGGAAAAGGGGTGTAGCCAGACCCAGCATTGGAGTTTCAGTTTGGACAGCAAGTCAAGTAAGCACCCAGAGTGAACTGGAGAGGGCTTTTGGCCGCTGGCCTCTCTCGTGCTTTCCATGACAATGGACAGTCCCCAGCTCTGCCTAGTCCTCTTGGTCATAGGCCTCTCCTCTGGAGGTAAGCAAAGGACACCCCATCCTCTTTTTGTCCCCAACTTCTGTCTTTGGCCTTCTGGGGCCAGGCTTCACCAGCCTTTCTCCTCAGGTGTGAGCACAACTCCAGTGCTTGAGGCTCGGCCCCAGGTCTCCTGCTCTCTGGAGGGAGTGGAGATCAAAGGTGGCTCCTTTCAGCTTCTCCAAGATGGTCAGGCCCTGGAGTACCTATGTCCCTCTGGCTTCTACCCATATCCTGTGCAGACTCGAACCTGCAGATCCACAGGCTCCTGGAGCGTCCTGCAGACCCGGGACGGAAAGAGTGTCAAGAAGGCAGAATGTAGAGGTTGGAGGCTTGGGAATGTGGACAGTGGGTGGCTGGGCAGACCAGGTGGAGGCTGTCCAGTACTTGGTGAGAGGAGAGCTGTGGGACTGGCAGTCTGACCTGTAGGCTGGCTGAGCATGGGCACAAGTCTGGGGGTGCGTGTGGGAAGGCTTTGCTCAGGCAGTGAAAATGATACCTGGAAACTGGGAAAGGGTGTCTAGAAACGTACTTCAGTTGGTAGAGTGTTTGCCTCCCGTGCACAAGGCGGTACTGCGTGAAGCAGGCGTGGTGAGTGCCTGCAATCCTAGCACGCAGGACATAGAGGCAGGAGGGGAATCTCAAGCACCTTCAGCTTCACAGCCACTTTGAAGCCAGCCTGGGCTACATGAGACCTTGCCTCAGAACAAAACAAAATAATCCCACAAGAAGAGGGGACAGTAGGGTTGAGGGGACTGGGCAGGTACTGTTTCTCAGTGACAGGATTTCTAAGACCAGGAAGGACTTAGAAACAGCACTCGGTGACTTTTATCTGTCTTCCTTAAAGCAATACGCTGCCCACGACCACAGGACTTTGAAAATGGGGAGTTCTGGCCCCGGTCCCCCTTCTACAACCTGAGTGACCAGATTTCTTTTCAATGCTATGATGGTTATGTTCTCCGGGGCTCTGCTAATCGCACCTGCCAAGAGAATGGCCGGTGGGATGGGCAGACAGCAATCTGTGATGATGGAGGTGAGAACCAGGTCACCCCTGACTTTACCCTCTGCTGGACGGCTTCACCTTGGGAATGCATGGACACTCACATTGTCTTCATGTCTCTGCAGCGGGATACTGTCCCAACCCGGGTATTCCTATTGGGACAAGGAAGGTGGGTAGCCAATACCGCCTTGAAGACACTGTTACTTACCACTGCAGTCGGGGACTTGTCCTGCGTGGCTCCCAGCAGCGAAGGTGCCAAGAAGGTGGCTCATGGAGTGGGACAGAGCCTTCCTGCCAAGGTGATCCTTGACCTGCTCCCTGAGTCAGCTCTTGCCCTGTTGGCTCCATGTCAAGAGTCTCTCGTCCTGAAATCCCATCACCCTGTCAGTGTGTCCTCCGTACTCCAGATATCTGACCTACTGTCTGGCCATCCCTAGATTCCTTCATGTATGACAGCCCTCAAGAGGTGGCTGAAGCATTCCTATCCTCCCTGACAGAGACCATCGAAGGAGCTGATGCCGAGGATGGGCACAGCCCAGGTTTGAATGCAAGGAAGGGCCGGGCAGTGGTGGTGCACGCCTTTAATCCCAGCACTTGGGAGGCAGAGGCAGGCGGATTTCTGAGTTCGAAGCCAGCCTGGTCCACAGAGTGAGTTCCAGGACAGCCAGGGCTACACAGAGAAACCCTGTCTCGAAAAATGAACAAACAAACAAACAAACAAACAAAGAAAAAGAAAGGAAAAATAAAAAAAAAAGAATGCAAGGAAGGAGGCTGAGCAGGAGGCCCAGGGAAGGATGGGTGGTCTGTCAGGTACTGTACATGCCAGAAACTGAGTCTCTGTCGGCACCTAGGGGAACAGCAGAAGAGGAAGATTGTCCTGGACCCCTCAGGCTCCATGAATATCTACCTGGTGCTGGATGGATCCGACAGCATCGGGGCCAGCAACTTCACAGGGGCCAAGCGGTGTCTTGCCAACTTGATTGAGAAGGTAGATCAGAGTGTTCCTCCCTTTGAAATGAGGGGACCTTATCTGTACCTCACTGCCCTTACAAGATGGTTTCTCGTGTCCCCAGATCCTCTGGGTCCAGGTCCTGATGTTCTCTGGGCTCCGCTCTGTCTCAATAGGAGTGTTGACTACCCATCACACTGTTCTTTTAACACAATGGCCTCTTGCTCATGCACAGGTGGCAAGTTATGGGGTGAGGCCAAGATACGGTCTAGTGACATATGCCACAGTCCCCAAAGTCTTGGTCAGAGTGTCTGATCCGAGGAGTAGTGATGCTGACTGGGTTACAGAGAAGCTCAACCAAATCAGCTATGAAGGTCAGAGGTCAGGGAAGGGAAAGTGGGAGGTGCACCTTGGGGCTGTGGTGGTCAGAGGCTCGGAGTTCTTCTGGAGAAAGTAGATAGACTACTATTGGTTAGAGATTGAACAAAAGTGTCCTTGGGTAATGGAGACTGCTGGGAGAGCCAAGGGCAAGTGGGTGATAACCCAAAAGTTAAACATTGTCTGGACTTGGTGGCACAAGCCTTTAATCACAACATCCAAAAAGCAAGCGGATCATTGTGAGTTCAAGACCTGAATGCTCTATATAGTAAAAGTTAAAGAATGTGGGACCTCAGTTGTCATAGACTTCTGAGGTGTAATTGTGGCTTGGAAGATAAGGTCAGTGACCTTTTATTTGTAGACCACAAGCTGAAGTCAGGGACCAACACCAAGAAGGCTCTCCAGGCTGTGTACAGCATGATGAGCTGGGCAGGGGAGGCCCCGCCTGAAGGCTGGAATCGAACCCGCCATGTCATCATCATTATGACTGATGGTGAGGCCTTTCTCCTACCCCAGCATCCTCCCATGTGCTTGTGTCTCCAGCGTGTTTTCCTTGACGCACTTTCACGGGCCTCGTTTCCCGCAGGCTTGTACAACATGGGTGGAGACCCTGTCACAGTCATTGAGGAC